GTACCATACTACACTCCAAACCACAATCATGTGTTTTACAATTGCTCTACAGCCTCTCCATCATCTGGTTTTGTCAGCCCTTATCATTTTAGCCATTAGATGGTGTGTAGTGATACCTCATTGTAGTTTTGACTTGCATTTTCCTGATGACTGAGAGCGTTGAAGACTTTTCATGTACTTACTCACCATTTATATATCTTCTTTTGTGAAGTGTCCATTCTAGTCTTTGGTCAATTTTTAAAGATTGTGCTGCTTGTCTTTATTATTGAGTTGTAGGAGTTTATATATTCTGGGTACAAGTCTTTGTCAGACAAATATGTTTTGAATATCTTGTCTTATTCTATGGCTTGCCTATCTATTTTCCTGATGGCAGTTTTGATGAGCAGATGTTTTAACTTTGATCAAGTCCATCTTCTCGTTTTTCCTTTTATGACTTACGTTTTCTATGTCCTTTCTAAGAGATCTTTAAGTCACAAAAATCTTCCCCTCTGTTTATTTTGTTTTCAGTTTTACTTTGAGGTCTATAATCCATGTTGAATTGATTTTGGTGTGACACAGGGTCAGGTTCTTTGTTTTCATATGGATACACATTTGTTCAGCACCCTTTGTCAAAGCCTTTTAACTCTGCACATTTAGCTGCTTTGGCATCCTTGTTCAAAACCAAGTGACAGTGTATGCGTGGATCTCTCTCTGAACCTTCTATTCTCTTCTATGGATTTATCTGTCAATCCTTTTGCCTTCTTATTTTGTAATTCACTTTCAAGATTTTTTTTTTTTGCCTTTCCAAACAAATTTTTAAATCATCTTGACTGGGATTACAGTGGATCTTTAAATAAGTTTGAGCAAACATTATAATAATGCTGATGCTTCCAATCTGTGATTTTTTTCATTCCATTTTTAATTTATTCAACTTACTTAGGTCTTTTGAATTCCTTTTGCCTTGTTTTATAATTTCAATGTAGAAGAATTTCATGTATTAAGTTAAACTTATCACATATTTAGTTAAATTAAATGTTTGATGCTATTATAAATGGTGTCTATTTTTAAGATTTTCTTATTCACTCCTAATGTACAGAAATACAACTGGTTTTATATATTGTGATATCCCAAATTCATTTATCAGTTGTAGTATTTTTTTTTCCTTGTAGGTCTCTTAGTTTTGCTTATGTATACAAATAATCAGTTTAAAAAAAAAATCCCTTCTACCCACAGGGTTAGTATTTTTCCAGACTTTAGAACAAACTCAAGAATCCAGCTTTACTTTTTCTTCTTGGCATGGGATGAAATTTAACTTGCATAGTAGTTATTAGTGCTGTTTGCCAAGTACTTCTAGTCCTTCCATATTATGGAGATAGCTAGCATTGTACTTCTTTGATATGTCATGGTTTGGTGGGGCTGTGTGACTGGTTTCAGCAGATAAGTGAGTGCTAAAATGATATGTATCACTTTTGCACTAGGGCACTGAACTACTACAAGTCTCCAGAATTCTCTTTTTTTCTCTATCCCATTAATCAATGATGCTTGAGGTGAAAGCTACTCCATCTGCCTGGATCTCTGAATGTCTACAATGAACAGAGCCCCACCCCCCACAACCCTCCACAGACCCACAGTGGACATATGGCTTGAGATAGAAATAAAATTCTGTTGTTTCAAGGCACTGAGAATTAGGAATTATTTGTTATAGCAGCATTACCTAGCCTATCCTGACTGATTTAACTTGAATGAAGTTTTAAAAGAGAGATGGCTAAGCAAAATGATAGGTGGAGGCAATAAAGGAGAACACATTGTTTTTCTTCTCTGAGTGAGACAAAGGACATATACCCCCAGAGAACCAGCAGTGAGCTGCAGCCCAGAATCTCATGCAGGTCTTATGTACAACCAGATCCCCAGTGCCCAGAACATAGTAGACAGTTAAAAAGAAAAGTGCTGGCTTGCATTCAATTAAGCCAGTGTTCTTTCAGTTCATGCTTTGTAAGGTAGCAGTGCAGCATTTCCCTTTACTTTCCCCCCACTACCTTCTCCTTGCTTGCAAACAGAATGATAAAAAACAACATTTTCCTAGAGACTTGTTGGGAAAAATTGTGCTAATTACAAAACACTTTGCAAAATGTGAAATCCTATCTAAGTGGCAATTTTCTCCATTGCTCTGCCAATTGTAATAAATATTGTTTTAAAGCTGAAAAAAAAAGTAGTAGTCTGTGTCCCATTTTCATGAGAAATACACCTAAACCTTGAATGACTGAGCTGAACTTCATGGCATTATCTTCCTGTTAGTCTTATGCAGGGTTTTTCCTTAATATGGGAAGTCCCCTCCAAATCTCTGAAATCTTATGCGGCTGCTACGATTTATCTTTTAGGGAAATTTTGATGTAATAAAGTGGTCATCTGTAGCCTTAAAACAATGTCAAGTATTATCTGGTGGATTTCAGATATCCCAGATAGATCTATTTTTCTCTCATACATATCCCCCTCATCCCCCTTCAGAACACCAGCCTCAGCTTGGCACCATGGGACTCTTAAGTCATCTGCTTTCAGCTCTGAGTGCCCCATTTCCTACCCCAGCCTGCACAGGGCTAGTATGGTGATGTTCCACTTGCTCGGTAAAAAGTTAAATGTCACCCTCTGATGTTTACTTGCTTTGAAGTTTCCTAACCATGGTACAGGAGGAAACTTTTCTGTCTCCATCAGACTCCTCCTCACCCCCGTTCTGTGTGCAAACAGGCCCTTCTGGTGATTGCATGCTTCTGTCCTTACACCCATTTTGCTGTAAATTTTCTTATTGACTGAGTAACAGAAATAGCAATAATACTTGCTCAGAACTTACTTTGAGTCAGACGCTCTAAGCACATTTGGATGGATTCTCCATTTCAACCCCTCATGGCAGGTGTTTGGGTCAAAGCAATCAGGAACTCTTACGGGCAGGGAAACCGAGGCACGGGGAGGCTAAGGAACCAGGCCAAGGTCGCCCAGCTACCAAGAGGCAGACCCTGTGCCCCGAACCACTGGGATTTTACTCTCCTGTCTCTCATTTTCCTCTTTCCCATCTACCTCCTATGCAGCTACATTCAGCCAGCAGTACTGTGTGGCAAGCATAGCATCAAGCTTGTGGGGTTCGGGGATGGATACGCTGAAACCCGTGCCTGTAGGATAATAAAGGGGACACACGCAGACACTATGCACTTGAGTGGGGGGGGGGAAGGGAAGGGCAGGCCTGGATACAAGGCTGTGAGGCTTTGAAAGGCAAACTGAAGCCTTTGATACCTAATCTACAACACGGACGTGGGCGTATGAGATTAAGCTGTAAACTGTGGGCTTCCCTTCCACTCTCAGATATTGTTTTGTTTGTTTCCTTCGGTCTCTTTCTTCAGTTCTTTAAACTTCAGGGTTTTTTGTTTTTTTCCTTTTGCCCCAGGAGAGCAGTTTTTAAACTTAGCCATGCATTAAAATCATCCTTTGCAGCCATAGTTTTCCTCCTGGCTATGGGGCTGACCCATTGTTCAGTCCCCCTCATGCTGGGAGGTGGCATGTGCCTGAGACTGGCTGGTAGAATGGGGGTTGGAAACAATGCCCGTCACCTCCAAGCCTGGCCCATAAGCCTCCCTAACATCTTCCTCCTTCCTCCCCTGTCCCAAGATCCTGCAGAGGCTCTGGGGCTCCAGTGTATGCTTAAAGAATCATTGACCCAATACATCTGTTTTAATTACCAACTGGTTACCAAGGCTACAGTGAAGTTACCTGGCTTGCTGTTTCTTGGGGGCTACAAATGCAGACTGTTATTTTTCTCTTTCAATTTTTCTCTTAGAAAATCCTCCTTCAGCCAGTGTTTGCTATTGGATTTACCCATAAGCATATAAGAGCTGTGGGTGTTTGAGGGCCCTAACATGCATTGGAATGATCAGGAATAAAATCATTTTCTCTCTCTTAGGACTAGAGACATGTCCTACTATATGAGGGCAGAGACCGTGAGAGTGACCCCACCCACAATAACAAAAGTTATATAAATATAAATATTTTGATACAATGCAATAAACAAATACATACATATATGAACACAATAACATTCAAGCATCTAGTATACACCAAGCACCATGCTGAGTTCTGTATGCAGTATCTCATTTAATCCTGACAACAGCCCCAGGAGGCAAGTCTTATAATTATCCTATCCCACAGACAAAATCAAGGCCCTGAAAGTGAAATTACTTGCCCAGGGTCACATGGTGAAAAAAGAAGTCAGGATCAAAAGGCCATTGGACCCCTATGCTCATAGGACTAACCCCCGTGTTCAGGGCCTTCACACACCTGTCCCAGTCCCCAGGTCCCCAACCCCCTGCCACACTGTCTCATGCCCTCTCTCTGTGGTTCTCTTCAGTCCAGCCTGGCTGCACTCCCCTGGCCCTGCTCACCACACTTTCTGTAATTAGAATTTAGTCAATTGGAACAAAGTGCCTGCACCTGATGATTCTCCCTAGTTTTCTCTATGCAGCTTGAGATTCCCCAGCACCAGGGCAACCAGATTCTTGGATGCAACTGAAAGCTAAGCAAATGCCCCAAAGATCCACATGCTGGTAAATGGTTCCCCCCAGCAGCATCCAGTCTTTGCCCCAGTTCTCACCAGCCTCCTTCTCGTCATTCAGGGCCATTTTAGTCATTAAAAAACCTTCAAGAGCTTACATAAACACTTAAGACTCTTCTGAAATAAAGTGTAGAGAACACCAGAGTAGGAAAAGAAAACTGCAAAAACTGAGATTAGTGTAGGTATGATTAAATGCTTATGAAAATATCATGCTAAACTTGATGAAAAGTTAAAGTAGGAATTCATGAAAAATTCATGATGGTTTAAAAACAATAAGCCTTGCTTTTCTGACTTTGTGAAGGTTTCTAGTCTGCATAATGATTATTGAGAAATCATGGCCAGTCATAAATTGGATATATTCCTTGTAGGCGAATCATTTCAAAAGCAGAATTTTAAGTCTAATTTATCATTCTTTACAGACAAAACAGATAATTTGTTCAAACTGGCCAAATGTTGAACCCATGAGACATAAGGGCTCTCTAGTATGTTTGATAGGATATGGGGTGGAGAGTCCCTTAAAATTCCTTGGACTCATACAGCTTCTCAAACCTTGAGAAAACTCAGCATGGGCAAGAAACAGCCAGCATGGAGAGGGAAAGGGTGGCCCTGGAGGGGGCACCTCTCAACCTTGAAGGAAGAGGCTCCAGAGAGGAAAAAGCCTTCTTGAAGGAAATGCAGTATTTACCCAGCTAAACCATCTCAGGAAAGAGGGACTGTTTGAATGTGTCCAATAGATTCCAGCTGCCCAACTGGAAACCAGCCAAGAAAAGCCTGCACCCCATCTCCCCTCACTGCAGGAAGGAGATTGGGAGGTTTGTGTTTTAAAAGCAGGGGAGTGAGAGGGGTTGCAAAGTCCTGGTGTTATTCTTCGCCCTTGATGGCCTTGGGATGGGCCTTCCTTATCCTTCACTGCTGGCCCAAGAGTTCATGTAAACTTGGAGGCATCGAAAATCCACATCTGTTTTCTTATCCATGTCCTGGAGAAGGGGGAGAACCCAGCTGCTGTCTCCTCCACATCAGGACTGGAGCAGGGGCAGCTCTGTGGGTCTGTGATCAAACTGGAATGCAGGAGTTAATCGGGAAGCCGCCTTTGTCCTTTGCCTCAGCACTCAGCAGCCCTCCATAAGGCCAGAGCACCTCCTGGGGTTCAGGGGCCAAGCCTTGACATGGCAGTCTCAGGACCTCGATTTTCTTACTGGAAAGTGAGGATACTAATTCCTGCCACCCTTTCCTCTCGGAACGTTTGGGCCAGGATGGGATAACAGACATAAAATTGCTTTCTAGATTTAAAGCTTTAATGCTCAGTGTGGCCCTCAGCCTCACCTGACGGCTTGTTAGAAATAGTCTGGAGCCCTGCCCCAGAGGCAGGAAGCTGAGCCTGCATTTTAACACAGTCCCAGGTGGCTTGTATGCAAATTAAAGTTGGAGGAACACAGATATAAAAGAACGTTGCAAGTCTTACCTTATAGGTTAGTCCTGGGTAATGATCTGTTGAATGCCTTTTCCTGTTACCTCTGTGAAGTCAGGCCCCACGCTGGCTTCTCTCCCAGTGCAGCCCACTTTTTGGCTTAGTGCCTGAAATACAGTAAGCACTCAGTATTTGTTAATTAATAAGTCTTACATCCTGTGTGACTGACCCTAGTGGGAGGTAGGAATAGACAGTGTTCTAAACTTACGTCCCAGGGAGACTCGCCAGCCCCCGGAGGTGATATCCCGGTTCTGATACAATGCCCTCTGAGCTGCTGCAGGGGTTCTCAAATCTTACCACACATTGGGATCACCTGGAGGCCTTGTTAAAATGCTGCTGCGCCCCAACCCCAGAGTTTCAACAGGTGGGGTGCTCCACGTGGTGCTGATGCTGTGTGGCCTGGTACCATGGTGGTGATAAGGAAAATATTCAATGCAGCCGTCAAGGTCAACAAATCACTTTTTCCCTCCAGTTGGCACTTTTTTCCTCCAGCTTCCTCCAGGCTCCTCTTTTGCCCTGCACGTGCCCAAATGCCACATATCAAAATAATGTGAATTGCTCCCCTTGCCTGTGCTCAGGGCTCAGACCTTGGGAGATTACTCCCCTCTGAGCCCGCTGGTGTAAAATAAACATCAACACTCCAAGACCTCCGAGTGCCACTTGGTTCTTCCGTCAGTGACCCAGTCCAGGTTTTCCAGTATTTTCCATAACAGTGGCACTGGAATAAGGGTCCCTAAATTTTAAATGTGGAGTATGAGGCATTCACAGTGACCAAAATATCAAATTGGCAGGAAAGCATTTTCAGATTGAGGGATGTGATTGCTCTTTAAGGCCCTGGCTCCTCTTTCAGGAGGCTGGAGCAGCCCGAGAAGGGGCAAGGACGGGGTGCCAAGGGGCCAGGGGATGGGTGGCTGGTGGCCACAGGGCTATGATTTGGGGCTTACAGGCATGGTTTCAGGAACTGGCTGTACATCAGCATCACTCGTAAGTTAAAGGCTGCAGTTTCCTCCCCATTCCCAACTCCTGAATCAGCAGGGGTGGGTCTCTGGGGTCTGCTCAACATACTGCTCAGAACAGGGCCTCCTGGGTTATTTGCTACCAAACAGTAAGAGCCATAACAGCCATTTCCTCCCTGCTAGGCCTTGAGCTAAGTACTTTATATCTATTGTCTCCTACTATTGTTGCAATAGCCCATGAGGTAAGTGTAGTAGTTTTGTTGCTGGTATAATAAATTACCTCAAACTCAGTGGCTTAAAATAACACAACTGTATTATCTTACAGTTTTGGAGGTTTAGAAGGCTGATACGTATCTCACTGGGCTAAAATCACAATGTCAGTGAGGCTGCATCCCTTTCTGGAGGCTCTAGGGGAGAATCCGCTTCTGCAGGCTGCCCCATGCCTTGGTTCATGGCCTCTTCCTCTGTCTTCAGAGCAGCAACATTGCATCTCTGAGTTCTCCTTTAAGAGACATCTCTCCTCTGCCTCCCTCTTCCGCTTGTAAGGACCTTTGGTTACACCAGAAGCACCTGGATTATCCAGGACAACCTTCCCATTTTCAGATCAGCTGATTAACAACCTTAATTCCATCTGCAACTTTAACTTATCTTTTTCAGGTAATCTAACATATTCACAGGTTTCCAGGGATTAGTATGTGGGCATGGGGGCCCATTAATTTGCCTACTACAGGAACTTTCCTATTTTTCTCCATTTTGGAGATGAGAACATTTGAATTAGAGAGACTAAGACATTTCCCAAGGTTACACAACTAGGAGTGGCTGCCTTAGCCTGCATTATAAGAAAACACAGCCAAACGCAAAAGCTTAAAGGCGAGTCCTTTACTGGGGAGTGAGACCCAGTGAGTGAAAGAAGTGGAGAGCAGAGGGAAGTAGGCCACCATGGCCTCAGCTCAGACAGAAGTTCCAGTTGGTTCTATTCAATTCCTCCTACTGTTCCATATCCATAGAGGTATCCAGTCTTCTCTCCTGGATTCAGAGGAACTTACAAGTGCCTGGGACTCTTGATGAGGTGAGGACTTGTGTGTGTGCGTGTGTGGGAGGGGTGCATTCTCAAGGACAGCCCAGCCATTCCCTTCCCTGGTCTTCCCCATAGAAGCTACCCTTCCTCTCTCAGTCTGTAGGCTCCCGACCTGTTCCTTTTCCCCTACCTCCCCAGCTCTTGCTGTCTGCTCCCTTTCCTGTCCCCAGGCCCTAGCTCATCTGGGAGAGGAAAAACAGACGCTGTAAGCTGCATGCATCCAAGGATCTTCCTCTGGCACCAAGAGCTGTTTTGTTTTGTTGCTCTTCCTGCTTTGGTGTCTGTTGGCTAGATGTGCCAATAAGAAGGAAGATGGAGATGGAAATATACAGAAAAGAACCAGGTTAATACTTGCCATATAATCCTGACCCATATCTTTTTATTTGTGTTTATTGTAATGAGTTGAATGGTGTCCCACTGCCCAACCCCCCAGCCCCTCCACATTCATATCCACTGGAACCTCAGTGATCTTTTTTGGACGTACTGTCTTTACAGCTGTAATTCATTAAGATGAGGTCATATTGATTTAGGGTGGATTCTAAATGCAATCTGACTAGTGTCCTTATAAGAAGGAAATTTGGAGACAGACACACAGGGAGAAGGCCATGTGAAGATAGGGGCAAAGATGGAGAGAGACATCTTTCCAAGAAAAGGAAATTCCTCACCAAGGAACACTAAGGATTGCCAGAAACCACAGAAGCTGGGAAAAAGCAAGGAAGGATTCTCCATCAGAGCTTTCAGAAGAAGCGTGGCCCTTCTAACCTTGTTACAGCAGCCACAGGAAACTAATACACACCCAACAGCACACTAGCGCCCTGGAGGGCGGGACCATGTCTGTTCTCACTGCTGAATCCCAGTGTCTAGCACAGTGTCTGGTGCATAAACGGTCTAAAATAAGCTTTTGTCAAGCAAAGGTAACTAAGTCTGAGCAGATGTGACTAAAGCAAGAGGGAAGAACAAAGACTGAAGTGATTTGTTTGGTCCATGGAGAAAAATAGCAACAAAAGACCAAGAAACTGAACTTGGCTCTTCCTGTGTGAATTCACTGTCAGATGCTGAAATGACTACTTTTGGTGAATGCAAATCATAACTGCAGCCAGTGTGTTTAGTCCAAGGCCACAAATGCAGGTACTGAGCCAGAGTTACAGTCACAGGAGTTTATTTTTAAAGTAACCACACCTGACCTTCAGGCCTAGAGGCCTGCAGACTCAGACTCTCCTCAGGGCCACCCCAGGGTGGCTAGCTCTCCTTGGTAGAGAAAAGCCACAGGTTCCAATATGGAAGGTGGCCCTTTACCCCCACCACAGCTAAGGAATACCTCCCCCTCCCATCTGTTGCCTGCATGCTGACCGATTTCTGGCATACTTGACACCCACAAATCATAAGCTGCTGCTTCTGGCTCGCTTCAGGTTCTTGAGTTAAGTGAGTGTGAGCGTGCTGTGGAGCCCACTGGGGGGCGGCCGCTGGGGCCAAATGCTCCCCTGCAAAGGCAGAGAGCTCCTTCTTACCCCTTGGTCTTCCCTGAGAAGGGACAGGAAAGCCTTCTTCTTCAGAACATGGGATTTTTTTTTCTGTTGATTGAGCCACAGGGAAGCAGCAATCAGCTGTCCGATGGGTACAACACAGGTTGCCAAAGATGGGGATTCTCCTTTATCCCAGAGATCTTCCCAGGTACAGAGTTAAGAATACGTTTCTCAAAGATTTAAATCAGGATTTGAAAAAGGAAAAATAGGATTAACTTAGTGGAACTCGGGGTAACTGTTTGTTTTTCATTTTCTAATGCCAAACACATCAAGGAGCAATGTCAGTTTTTACTGAAGGTTTCTAAGGGAGGGGAGGTTAGATACTATGTCACACAGCACAGACTTCTTTACAATTGCCTCAGAACATGTCTTTACCCCAAAGTCTTACCCCTCATAATGACCGCTCATTGTTCCTTCTTCATCTTCACTTACCAGCACCCCCTTCCCCTCATGGCCCCTTCAAACTTGCAGCTACACAGGCTCCCCTTTCAATGACCTCCTCTTTCTAGCCTCTTCTGCTATAAGTTCCTAGAGCTGAGCATCTCCCTCGACTTGTACAGAGGAATTTAGCCTCTTTTAACCTCTCTGATTGTCCTCTCTGCCCTTGACCCCACATGACACAGTAGCTGAGCTCGTTGAACTAATGTCTGTCCTTCCTAGAAAGCATGTGGTTTACCCCTCACAAACAGAAACCTTTGGTGGATATAAACAACCACACCTGTTGTTGACAGAGAGGACCCTGAGGCATACTGGGCTGCTCCCATTTCATTCTCCCCATATTCTGTGAGGTTAGATAGCTAGAGAACACATTGGAGAGAGGGCATAGGAGATGGCCAGGGCTTCAGTTCCAACTCCATAAGAGGATCAAGGATTCCTGAGAATCAATATGAGTTCACACCTGTGGAAACCATTAGACATGGTCACTGCCCTCAGGGAGTTTCTAATGTTATCAGGAGAACTACATAGAGACAATTGTGGAGTGAACACACTGCCAAGTGCCCTAAGAGTTCAAAAGGGCAGGTGGGTACAGTCTGGAGAAGTCTCAGGAAGCTTCAAGGATGGACCTAGGAAATAGGCTCAGTCTGACTGGGTGGAAGGCAGGGAAGAAGGTATCCCATCAGGAGAATCAGTGTGAATGAAGACTTGAGGGTGGGCAGTGCAGAGTTGGGGGAACAGATAGGAGGGCCACCTGGCCAGAGATCGGTTTCCCCAAGCATGTACCTAAACCAGTCTTTTGACTTTCAAGTTGAACCTGAACTATATCCCTCCTAGCACTGCTCCGATTCCCAGTGGCAAGGAGGCCTATGGTTTGGTAGGCAGGCAGGAAGGCAATTCTCCACTCACCAAGATTCCAAGAACTGTTACTTAGGTTGATTGATTGGAGCTGGGCATGCAATTCCTCAGATATGGTTACACATGGGGATTAGCATAGGTGTAGTGACATTAAAATATATGTGGGAGCAGGGGTGGGGTAGCACACAGGTTACTTTAACATAGCCATGGTGGGTAAACCCTAAGTAAGTAACAAACTTCATAAAAAATAAATATTTTTCAAATGTGTTATTTAAAAAATTCATGAAAATATCATTGTAGGGAAGTTGGGTTCTTTTGGCCAGGATCCTCACTGAACTTAAACCACCTGATGTAACTGGCCTGGTGCTGGGCTGCTGCTTCCACACCTGTGAGCAATAAGCTATTGTTGCGCTATATAGCAAGCTTGGCCCAGTGCTCTAGGCGGAGGCAGAGACGTTAGTGTTCGACCTACTGCTGGGAGAACAAGCTGGGTAATAAACCCTTTCACCCCCAAAGAATATTTTGCTGTCAATTTCTTTGGTCACACTGAATCCATAGTGAACTTGCCTGGGGCTGAAACCCGTTGGCAAGACAATTGGCATAGTTGGCAGGATTC